CAGCCTTTTTCTCGATTCTCCCTCTCTAAAGTTCATCACCTTCAAGCCAAACTCTTCTCACTGCAAGTTTAGGAATTCGGCCGTGTTCGGGTCGCTCATATCTGTCTCGTCTTCAAAAAGGTAAGTTCTAGAAGCCATCTATTCCTCTTTTAGTGCTTAAATTCCTAATTTCTCTTCCTGCTCAACACAAGTTTTGGGAATTAAAGATGGTGAGATTATCCATTGAAGACTTGCATGTGTCTTCATCAGATGGTAATCTGTGACCTAAGGAATCTTTTAATCCCAAAGAGAAGAAGAGAGTTCTCGCATATATGGCCGACATCACATTCGGCTGATTTGGGTCTGCATGCGTCTCTAAATCTTTTATTTCATCTTGTAGCTTGCTAACTCAAATTCCTCATTTGTTCTATTTTGTGTTCTGAAAAATATTTAGAGATAAGGATTTTGGTGATAACAGTCTTTATTTTTTAACATTGTTGAGTCGAAACCGCCTCATTTTGCTGCCATTCTTGGGCATGCAACCGATTTGGGGAGGCGGGTGACTCAAGGTTGTAAATTGTTTTTGGGAAGGGTGTTAAACCCACTCAAAATCTCTTGATTCCAACAATTGACGGCTGCCATCATTTGTTTTGAAATGGCATTTAATGATGCCATTATTTAGATGTTGGAATTTTCCCTTCAAACCAAATATTTGATGTATCAACTGTATTGGTATTAGTATCTGGCGATATTGAATTGAACAGCTTTACCCAGCTCAAGTCTTGGTTGTTTAGAAGTTCTTATTAAGTATTGATTGCTCTATCAGGGAGTCCGAGCAAGTGTTAAGCAGGTCTGTTAAGGAAGCATTTGACCTTCGCTAAACATGTGAGTTCACGGCCCCACTTTTACTTTTTTTTATTTTATGGGGGAAAAGCATGACGAGAAAGCTTTGCATGTTTATTTATTTGAAACCTCCAGACTATGGAACTGCATAGTCGGGTTTCTAAGCTGTATTTGTTACTATTTTGCACTATATTATAAATGCTAAATTAATGTGCTTGAGAATATGTTTCCAAATAAAAGTCCCCGTCCGTACACGCTACTTGTTAACTCGGGTACATTCCCGGGCCATGGTATTGTGGATAGCCACTATTGTGTTGACAGTCCCACCCAGAAAGGGGTGCACAATTATCTATCTTTTCCTAGCCTAATCATGTGGAATTTGGACCACCGCTGAATTAGCGCTTTATCGAACCGTGGAACCTAAGTAGTGAACGGGCTACTTCTGTTGTTCGAAAATTAATGGGGCATATTGGTCAGGTAAGGCTCAGTAGCGTCTCAAGTGTTACATTGCAAGGGATTTACATTTATTAAGTGCAAAGAATTCACATAAGTTTGCTACTACTTGATGCATTGAAATATTTTATGCATGTGAAAACCCGTGAATTCACCAACTCTTTGTAGTTGACTCTTTTTTATGCCATGCTTTTCAGGTGCTAAGTAAGTTGTGTGGACTCCTGGGAGCATTACTTGGGTCAAGATCGATTAAAACAGTTTTTGTTGTATTTGAAAATACTTTTGTAACCTTGAAACTTTATCAAGTCGATGAATTGTGTATTTTGAATCGTTGGCAAAGTGTTTTACTGTAACTGTTGCCAAGACTCGCTTGTCTGTTATCATCCCGTGTTTCCGCTTTAGCGGGGTGTGACAGATTTGGTATCAGAGCCTCAGTTATAGAGAATGTTG